AAATGTTTTAAAAAATATTGTACAGTTGTTATCACCGTCGTTATTTCCGATAATGAAAAATCATCATGAGGTCAATCTAGGGCATTTTAACAACCTGACGGAACCCAAATCTACCCAGGCGCCCTGATTTTAGATATTTATTGAAGGTTACAGATTCATCAAATAATTAATTAAATAAAAGAATTATATTGTTCCAAAGCTTTGGAGAAATTAATGTCTGGCGGAACCCGACCCAAACCAAACTTACATGAGGGGTCCTATTTTCCTTCTTTATTGTAGGTTACAGGTCTACAAAGAATAAAATAAAATAAATATATTCTATTCTTCGGAAGTTTTGGACAAATAAATTTCTAGCGGTTTACAGGGTTTTTAAGGTCAAAATGAAAACCTCGTGATCTCCTGGTTACAAACGCTATTATAGGCTGACGTATCTCAGCACAAAACCAACTCGAAATTTGTGGTGAAAGCCTTTAAAATCAGCGTGTCAAATTAGGCATTTACAAATACATTCGAACACTCGCCCCCAGCGAGATTTGAATATCAATATTCTGATATCTTGCTTTCATATGGGTTCGAACACCGGCCTCTGACGCCGACGTGGAATAAATAGCTACCGTTGGTCTTAAGTTTTGGAACGAATCCAGACACTTTGAATATCTCGGGAATAGGTTGCGCGGCCTTGGTGCTGGGCATACATGGGTACTCCTCCCCGGCACTGAGACGTCTATGAGAGAGCTGATCTACTGTGTAAACGTCACATTCTTCATGGCAATTCTTCACGTCTGAGGAGGTGGCAAAAATAAAATTGCATCAGCCAGGTCTGTCACCCATAGCCACCCTAAAGTCCAGAGATGGTTCCTCGCTATTGAAAGGAAGATTTCGGTTCGTGGATGAGATTAAAGAGAATCTAAGGATGCAGCTGATGGCAATCCCGAAGGCAATTTTGCTGGCTGTTTTGAAAAGAGGAAGGGTCACTGAGAAGTGTGTGAAGCTGCAAGGTAGTATTTTAAGGAGACCAAGGCGCCATTGCCATAAATAGGCTCCTTTTTCTTTTTCTTTTTTTTTGTTAATATTGTCTGGACACTTTCCAAAGAGACGTAATTAGTTATTTAAATTCCACAGTTGGATAAGAGGATAGGTTGAAAATATGTCCCGATAATGTCCAATTCACATAACTAATAACCACGATGTATTATTGTTATTATTAAAATAATTATCCTAGAAAATAATTCATTAGGAATCACTGGCTTTCAGAGAGTATCGGCTGGCACAACAAATCTTCATATATCACAGTTATTATGAAAGACATATTAAAAAAAATTTGATAGGGGACAGACACTGTAAAAAAAAAAAAAAAACTTAAAAAGAGTTTTGGGGGGTGGGATTACAAAGAATGCACTGGGGAAGGAGTGAAGGCACAGTCTGTAGTCTTATAAAATCTGCTGTTTTCTTTTTTTTTTGTTTTGATTTCTTACAAACAAAAATTGGTAAATTTTGAGATTTGTCCCCCCGCAAAAAAAAAACGCTGTGTCAAAAAATGTTTTTCTCGTTATTACTGTATATTCCCACGGTAATTTTTATTATTTAAATACTATTTTTGTAAGTAAAGTCTAATAAACAAATAGTTTGACATTTTTGTTGTCACATCTCGAGGAGGGGGAAAAAGAGTATAAACCAAGATACTCCCAAACTACTGAATTTGGCGACAGCAAATAAAATAAAAGCTCTCAAAATGCATCTCTTTAAAATTTGTAACAGTTACTATGTTTATTTATTTTTTGTTCTCTTTTTCCGCAGACATTTGTTTAAGATTATGAATCATCGGATTCTAAGAGCATTAAGAATATGCAGCCCGGATTATTTACACGAAGAGGAGAAATACATTGAAAACACTTTCAAACTTCTCCAGTAGCCTAATTATTTTATATTCAATACGAAACAAATGGCCTATAAAATATTCCAAAGCAAAAAATCGGCACGCCCTGAAAAACCCAATAAATCAAATAAATAAATAAATAAAAATTATCCTATCAAGTATCTCTATTATATCTACAATCGAAAAGAATCTATCTAAACTCAACATAAAATTTGTTACTACTACATCCAAAACAATAAAAGATTTAGTCAATACTAAACAAAACAATAAGCTAAAACCTAAAGGAGATTACTCTATCGCCTGTTATAACTGTCACAAAAAATACATAGGAGAAACCTCAAGAAATCTAAATAGAAGATTATATGAACACAGAAGGAACATTTTACAAAATATTATGCGTTGGTTGTAACGAGATTGACCACAATTTTGACATAAATATGCTACTCTGATCAAAAGAGATTCACTACGACGTAAATGTTTTGAGAGTCCCTTAATCGCAAGCTCATCTACAGTAAATTTGCGCCTTGGCTCTTGCAATGTTTCACCATTCCTGGCAGATTTCCTAATATCACAGTGTGGAATACCTACTTACAAAAGTGATGGGAAAAAAAAGACTCTAAATGAATTTGGGTAGATAAAAAAAAAATATTCTAAAATTCCCAGCACCAATTTCACGTACGCATACCAACATAACAAAATTTAGTCTGAGGAAGTCCTAAAGAACGAAACGCGTCACAAGTAAACTTTTTCCACTTTGTCATACTACTTCCCCAAGTTTATGAATACAAAACTTTTCATAGTTATTTTTTTTATAAAATGGTAAATAAATATTGCATTGCAGTTAATTCACATATAAAACTTGTAAATATAAAATTATTCTTGTATATAAACAATCGGATAAAATACTGCTTAATTCTTTTGTTGTGTATTATTGAGAACAGAGATAATACATGAATTTTAATTTGTTTTATTAAAATTCTAAAAACAGATTTTTAGACCAATAAAATTGCTTAAAGAGCTTATCGTAATAGAAAAAAAATAGTCCTTTCTTATGATCTGCTTTAGTTGTGTGTACAACTAAAGCATTGTTAAAATTTCCGAGGCGAATATCTCGTTTATGTTCGAAAACACGAGATTTTACGGATCTACATGTTTCACCCACATATTTTAGGTCACAGTTTTTGCATGATATTTGATAGATGCAAGCATCGGATGTAATATGTTGTCTGCTGGTGCTATTTAATAAACTACGGATAGTCCTAGTAGGTAATATAGTAGTTCTATTCTACGAGGCTTGTTTAATCAGCAAGGTATTAATTCCTATAAAATTATTTTAGAACAGTTCGAATAAACTGATATCAAAATAATGTAAATTTATTTCTGTTTAAAACTACGAGGGGTGATCGAAAAGAAATGTTGTCAGTTTTATAAAAAGTCTTTTAGACCAAATATGTATTCTTTCTTTTTTAAGCATTTCACCCCAAGCAAGTCGGGAAGCCATTAGCATGCAAGGGGTTATAGAGAGTTGGAGCGAGAGCAGATAGGAGTGATAGAGGAAAGGATGAAGAGAAGGATAGTGGATAGATCAAGGTAACTGGAGATGTTGATTGACATTATATTTAAATAGTTGGAGATTATAGCTCTCAGGGAAACTGGAATAGGGAAGGGAGTTCCACAGGCGAGAGGTGCGAGATATGAAGCTATTGGAGTAGAAGAGACGGCTACATTTAACAGTTTCAACAGTGAAAGGGTGAGAGCGGGATGCCAGCCTCGTAGAACGCTTGAATTCATGGAGTCTGGGAACCAGAGAAAGCAGCTCATCAGAGCAATTACCATGAAAGTATTTGTAAAAAAAAAAAAAAAAAAAAGAGAGGCGACGGCATGTCTGTAAGAGAGCGACTGCAGACGAGATGCCAGATCAGGGCTAATTACATTGCATATCCGTCTCTGGATATTATCAAGAACCCCGAGGCAAACAGAAGGGGCTCCAGACCATATATGCTGCAATGCTCCATGCAAGGGTGAAAAATTTGCCGACTCATCACAAACCAATGTTATTTCATTATTTACATCGTCCGGACTATGGTCCTCATATTTGTTGCCATATTTATCACAACGTTTCGGCCGTTGTACGCTCCGACCTTCTTCAGATTGTTGGAACGTCGAACTGAACCCTTTATTTTGCTTGCTGGGGTAGACTGTTCTACAAGGACACATGGCACAGTGAATAAAGGCGTTAGTTAGATCCAGTGACAGGATCCAAAAGAGTACCCGGTTAAGGCAGTGGAGAACTTGGAGAGGGGGGGTTAACAGGAGGTAACTGATAACTGACATCAATTAGACATGGCACGTGGAACTAGAACAGCGAGCAAAATAAAGGGTTCAGTTCGACATTCCAACTACCTGAAGAAGGCCGGAGCGTACAACGGTCGAAACGTTGTGATAAATATGGCAACAAAGATGAGGACGATAATTCATACAATGTAAATAGTGTACATAATACCTCATCTCAGAAATACAGACAATGTTATTTCACTTTCGACAATGCATTTTTATAAGTAAAATTTCGGGCTGCTGAATGTATCGCCTCTTAGCAATGATTTCGCTTGTCTTTACTAAGAAATTTCTAGAAATTGGTCTTTTCCAAAATATTTTACCGGGACAGTCGTAAATAATTAAGAGACACTCTATTCAACTGTCCACGTGACCACTCTCTATGTTGGCATCGGTCACTTCCCGTATAGCGTTGACCCAAAAGCAAAACTGCAAATAAGGGTACATGATTGTATTGAATTTCTTTTTCTGAAGAGTCCGGTAAAAAATAATTCTAGAGAAGGCTAGGTTTTAAGACTATTTTTAAAATAAAAAATTAGCCATTCAAGGGCGTAAATGCTGCTGATGGCACACTGGGTAATTAAAAAGAAAGAAAAGATGTTTTTAAAATCATTTTTAAATCAATATTATTTAAAATTCTGATCGAATTCATTTACTGATAGTCCAACTGGTGGTACCCCATGTTATCCGATTTGGTACCCAGGGTAAATATCCTTTGTTGGATCACCGAGCTACCCTCATTATGAATGTGACCTGAGAGGCAACGTATGGAGAGAGATCTGGATCTCTTTTAGAAAGAAAGAAAGAACGAAAGAAGGTTAGATACTAAAGAAAGAAAGAAAGAAAGAAAGAAAGAAAGAAGATGAGAGAGATAAGGTGGGGCGTAAAAGAAAGAAAAAAGAAAGAAAGAACGAAAGAAGGCGAGAGAAATAAAGTGAGTCATTAAAGAAAGAAAGAAAGAAAGAAAGAAAGAAAGAAAGAAAAGAAGATGAGAGAGATAAGGTGGGCGTGAAAGAAAGAAAAAAAAAAGAAAAAAGAACGAAAGAAGGCGAGAGAAATAAAGTGAGTCATTAAAGAAAGAAAAAGAAAGAAAAGAAAGAAAAGAAAGAAAGAAAGAAAGAAAAGAGGTGAGAGAGATAAGGTGGGGCGTGAAAGAAAGAAAGAAAGAAAGAAAAGAAAAGAAAGAAAGAAAGAAAAAAAAAAAAAGAAAGAAAGAAAGAAGGTGAGAGAGATAAGGCGGGGCGTGAAAGAAAGAAAGAAAGAAAGAAAGAAAGAAAAAAAAAAGAAAAGAAAGAAAAAAAGAAGATGAGAGAGATAAGGTGGGGCGTGAAAGAAAGAAAAAAGAAAGAAAGAACGAAAGAAGGCGAGAGAAATAAAGTGAGTCATTAAAGAAAGAAAGAAAGAAAGAAAGAAAGAAAGAAATAAAGAAAGAAAGAAAGAAAGAAAGAAAGAAGGTGAGAGAGATAAGGTGGGGCGTGAAAGAAAGAAAGAAAGAAAGAAAGAAAGAAAGAAGGTGAGAGAGATAAGGCGGGGCGTGAAAGAAAGAAAAAAAGAAAGAAAGAAAGAAAGAAGGTGAGAGATATAAGTTGGGACATAGAAGAAAAAGAAAGAAAGAAGTAAAGAAAGAAAGAGGGTGAATGAAAGAAAAATACAGTGAAAAAGAAATTCTATAAAAGAGAAATGAAGGGAAAAAGCCAGGGAGAGAGAAAGAAAATAATTGATAGAATGAATGAAAATGAAAAATGCGACAATGTTATATAACGGTGTCTTGCTTCAAAACACCAAATAATTCAAATCGGCCACAGGACCTCAAAATGGTCGCCGATTTAGTTTCCCCCAAGTTGTAACAAGCTCTACAATCATCGCTTGTTAACAACGTAAAATAATTAACAATATAAATTCGGTCACTTTTCTTTTCACGTCTCCCAACATGCCAGTCTATTTTCTGATCCGTATTAAGCAGACATTTTTTTTTTATATTAACATAATTTTATTAGAAATTTCATCTTTAGTATTTATTTATTTATTTTTATTTTTTTAAAAAGAAACACGGGACTTTCAATGCGACCTTATTACCGCATTGTTGCATGACTGTACTGACCCGTTTTGTGGAAAATAGTAAATTGCTATATATTGAAAACAAATGACCATAAACCCGCTGACGGAAATTTCTCATGGGTGTTGCCCTTTTTGAAAAAATACAATTAGATTTCATTTGTAATGATATATACATGAGTACCTTGGTATTGGGATACAATGGACATCGGCTCGAAATTAGAGAGCCGAGTTCGAACTCCGGTCGGGTTTGTTACTTTCACTTACACACAATACCTTGGGAATATGTATTGTGAGTTGGTTATCTTTCTTTAGCGGCATATCAACATCTCTATGGGTTATTTAATGCCGAAATCTAAATATTTTGAACCCATTTTATGGTTTTAACTAAATATGTTTTGAACACAATTGTATACCTTTAACTACAGATAAATATATATTGCGGATCATTTTGCTTTAAATATGTATTGTTGGTTGGTTGATTTTGTTTAGCGGCATATCAACATCTCTATGGGTTATTTAATGCTGAAATCTAAATATTTGGTCATTTAATTTTGAAATTGTATGCCTTCAACTAATAAAATTTTTGAACATAAATAAGTAATGGCTTTGATTTTGTTTAGCGAAATATATTTATTTAATACCAAAATTTTTTTGGATTTTTATTTATCTTGAGGTAATAATGGTTTTAGTGATATAAGTCCTACTAATTAACCCATAGCTGGAGAGAGAAGAGTTGGATTTATACCTTTCCCAAGGGTACCTGTGCGTTAAGTGAATATAACAAACCTGACGAGAATTGGAACTCGATTCACAGATGACCAATTCCGGCTCATTATCCATTACAAGACGCGCACATTCAAGCTTACAGCACCTGGTATCTTGGGAAAGGTACGAATCCATCTCTTCTGGCTATGGATCGAATAGCGAGACAGACTGGATCCAATAGCCTTGGTTGGCAACCAGTCTACCACAGAAAGAAACGGCAGTCTACTGTGGGAATATCTCCTGCCTAGTCAGTCCTGAATCGAAAGAGAACATGATCGCCCAAGCGTGTATAACGTATGAGACATAACTTGACTTTGGTGTTAGAGTTATAACTATAGTATTACAAAAAGACCTACTTGTATTTATAATTATCTCGCCACTGAGACGCGATATGACACAAGGTCAGGTTTATTGTGAGGAACCCGAGAGCATACACCCGGGATAAGGAAAAAAAAAAATTGCCCTCGCCCCTCGCAACCGACGGTTGTACTGGTCTCGGTGACGAGCACCGATCTCCCTCTTCAGTGCAATGAGAGGGTGCAACCTCGGGCAGCTGTTCGCCAGGGCCAGGCAGTTAGTAGTATTTATTTTCCTCAGTTACGTCTCTGCCCACGGACGCAGCCACAACTGAGTCGGACTCTGCCCGAAGACAGAGACGCAACTGAAAGATGTTGGACCCTATCCGGCACATGCTAGTTAAGTATTATTGATAATCAAATATTAGCGCTGTAGTTAATTTAGTGATAATTTTATTAGACTGGTGTTCTGGCATGATGGCGTCCCTTAGCACTGGTGTCAAATTTTAAACCGCCAGTTTAACACTTGACATCAGGGATAAGGGATATGCTAGCCCGTATAAAAGGTACGACTCAAATTTAATTGCAGTTATGAATTCAAAGAAATGATGTGTGCGTAAAAATTTCCGACTTCTTTTTTATTTTAAATAATAATAATAATAATAATAATAATAATAATAATAATATCTCTCTCATGTGTGTTGGATGTGCGGGTGGTGTAACGCTTAGCGGCTCGGAAAGAACGGAGTTCGAATTCCAGTCGCGTTCGTTACACTCACTTTTGCACAGATATCCTTGGCGAAAAGCAACAGCCCATCTTTTCTCCCTGCAGCTATGGATTAAATAGTGAGACGGACTAGACTCTATAACCTTGGTTAGCAGCGATGGTATCTCGAAAAAAAAAAACAGCCATCCCCAGCAGCTTCGACCACCCTAGGTAATACGTCGGCTTAAGAAAAAAAAAATCACCGAAATCCTTAAGTCACGTGATTTACGCAACCTGGCGCGGGGATGAAGAGCATCCGCCATGATAATTTTTCTTTTTGAGAGAAAGATTTAATGAATTTCAACCGAAAGCAATAATAGATTCCCAGTAAATGAATATCAAATGTCTCCTTATAGGGAAACGGCTAATCTCTCTTACCATTATACTGTGAGTTCAAGGTCCTGTTTTTTTTTTTAAAAAAGTGCTGGAAACTTTTTCACACACCGATTACTAAATATAGGTGGAAAGTATAGATTTAAAAAAAAGAAATTAGAACTACTTAAGTATAGTGGTCCACTCATATAAAAAAAAGATAAATTTGGTGGAGGGAGATAATTTTTGTAGATTAGCACACATTAGACTTTCCTCAATGCATGACTTTTGTCAGAATCGAAAAATATTGACTTTTTTTTTTTTAAATTTAAAAGGAGGTCCTGTCCATAATATCGATACAATTCCAAATCGATCCCTGACTTTTTCAGCGTTATCGGAACATAGTTTTCTCTAGAAAGATTTCCTTTAAATAAAAAACAAATGGATATATATATATATATATATATATATATATATATATATATATATATATCCGTTTGTTTTTATTTATATATATATCCGTTTGTTTTATATATATATATATATATATATATATATATATATATATATATATATCCGTTTGTTTTTTATTTATATATATATCCGTTTGTTTTATTATATATATATATATATATATATATATATATATATATATGAACTGAACCCTTTATTTCGCTCACTGGGGTAGACTGTTCTAGTTCTACGTTCCATGTCTAATGGATATCAGTTATCTCCTGTTAATTCCCCTCTAAAATTTCTCCACTGCCTTAACCGGGTATTGAACTCACACTCTTTGGGCACATGGCACAGTGGATAAAGGCGTTAGTTAGATCCAGTGACAGGACCCAAAGAGTGTGAGTTCAATACCCGTTAAGGCAGTGGAGAACTTACAGAGGAAATTAACAGGGGTAACTTATAACTGACATCCATTAAACATGGCACGTGGAACTAGAACAGTCTACTCCAGTGAGCGAAATAAAGGGTTCAGTTCGACATTCCAACCACCTGAAGAAGGCCGGAGCGTACAACGGTCGGAACGTCGTAATAAATATGGCGACAAAGATGAGGACAATAGTCCGAATAATGTAAATAATGTCTATTTTAACCTGTATCGATATTATGAACATGTCCTCTATTCTAAATTGAATTTTAAAAAAAAATCAATATTTTTTCAATATCTGACAGATGTCGTAGCTTGAGAAATGTCTAATGAATGCAAATATAGAAAAATTACCCCCCCCGCCAAAAAAAGTTCCCTATTTTTTTTTAAAGTGGACCACTATACTTAACTAGTTCCTCGAAAAATAAATAATAATAATACGACTTCAGTGTCACATTCATAGATGAAAAGGTCCGCTGTAGTGAATGTTTAATTGAGGAACACTTAAACATGACATTAGATCCGAGGTTAATGAAGTAACTCGTTTCTTTGATGATTATATAATGGCAAAAGCTAACGAAAAGTTAGGACTTAATGCTGTGGCGTAAAGACCGTAAACGAAAACAAGGAGCTAAATTGCCTGAACAAAATTTTGAAAAAAATAAAATACTTGATTATTATATAACTAGTTGAAGTATCCGTTTACAAAGGGTAAGAAAATCAAAATTCCTTTTCCTTGAAAAGTCGTCCGATATAACTTCTTACGTTTACGTAGAACAAAAGAAGACCTGTAACTAAAAAAAAAAAAAATGTTGTAGAGTAGCTCGCACCCGTTCAGCACTCTGCCAAATGTCCAGGCTCATAGGCTAAAATAGTCTACGATTAAGGACTTCAACAGTTGATTAATAGGTTGATACTAAGCTGATTAATATTAGGACTGATCTTACTTCGCTTGGCTATACAACATTTGGCCTTCATCTATTCCTTTAAGTTGTCTTGTTAATTGTTTTGTAACTTATTGTTCCGTGTTTTTGCGTGTATCCGTTAGCATCGTATACTGGTGCTGAATAAATATATTAAACACTCATTCTTTGTGTATCATTCACCTTGACGATACAACAATTATCTATCTATCTATCTATCTATCTATCTATCTATCTATCTATCTATCTATCTCAGTCTGTTCATTATTGTTGTAGAGTAGCTAGCACCCCATCAGCACTCTACCAGATGGCCTGGCTAATAGGCTTAAATAGTCTACAGTTGATTAATTATGTTGATACTAAGCTGATTAATATTCGGGCTGATCTTACTTCGTTTGGCTATACTGCATTTGACCCTCTTTTATTCCTTGTAAGTTGTCTTGTTAATTGTTTTGTAACTTATTGTTCTGTGTTTTTTGTATATATCTGTTAGCACCGGATACTGGTGCTGAATAAATATATTAAGCACTCTTTCTTCGCAGTGTATCATTCACCCCAATGATACAAATAAATTTTAGCATATTTGTTGTCAGTTTAAAATTCAAGATTGTCTTAATTAAATTGTGTCAAAAAAAAAAAAAAGGCATGGAGACGAACCATGTTTGCTTAATTATACAAAGAATTAATTAGCAAAGTTAATGTGATTAATGGCGAAATCACTTTGCTAACAAAACTTAATGAGACATTAACTTACTATCAATTCAAACAAGACAATAAGGTTTCTCAAGCATTCAGGCCAGTAGACGAAAATAAACGGAGCGTCTACTCAGATGCGAGTATCCATTTAAAGTGATAATATATATATATATATATATATATATATATATATATATATATATTGCTAGAGGCAGGTATGAACTCAAACCAATTAGGATTATTAAAGATACTTTTCCCCTAGCCTAAAGTCTAATTTGTTTTTAATCAATTTTTCTTTTTTTTTTTTTTTACAGCTAATATTCCATACTGCTAGTGGGAGTGGGGATTTGCGTCATAAATATTTCTAAATTACGACAGACTGATGCCAAAATACAACCCCAGGGATCTTCATTTTTTATTTTATTAAGTATCTAGGTGGCAAAAAAGCATGTCCGGCTGGTTATCAGTACTGAGAATAGAATCAACAGGCTAAATTAAAATTCCCTACGCACTAATGCGTTTGGAAAAGGTAAGAATATGTTTCTTCTCCTTCCAGCATAAGTAAAAATAGAAAAGGCAGTCTAGCCTCTCTCACATTGGTAGGGCAACCACCCTAGGAGAAGGAAAATTATGAATTCAAAATCTAAGAAGAAAGCAACTGTAAACACTCTAGTATAGTAAGAAGAACAGTCATGGTAATTCACAGGTATTAAAGAAAAGGAAGCTGTGAAGAGCCATGATTTCTTACATCCCGAACTAAAGTGTTTTTTTTTTAGTTTAAAGTGGCAAAAATATCAAGAGTGCTTTGCCAAAATCATCAAGGTATGCACCTTATCATATCCCGCTCAGTGTTATGGGGAGGTACTTTCTGACGGATGGATCCCAGTGACTAGGCATTTTTTTTTACTTTATTTTTTTTTTTTTAGACATGTTAGACGGGAAAACATAAAAAAAAGAAAAAAAAAAGAATGTAATTAAATAAATTTCAGTAACTGTTTCTTTTTTTTTCCAATTTTTTTTTTTTTTAAGGAAATACATAGATATTGAGAAAAGATATGCATACGGAACAAAAATTGATTAAGCATTTTCAGAATTTTGTAACTTTGATGCAAAAAAAAAAAACTCACTGCATACTTGCATTTGTCAGGGTGCAAACGGGGGGGGGTCTGAAATGCGGGGTGGGGGGTAAAGGGGTACACATCACAACACTTTCAGGGTACAAGAATTAAAAAAAAAAAGACACAAAAATGATAAAATAAAAAAAACTAAAAAAACCACCAAAATTAAAAATAAATAAACAAATTAGGAAACAATTCACACTTCTCTTTCTGTAAAACATGTTTTTTAAAGAAACAAAAAAACCCTTAAGAACTGTTTAAAACATTTAGCACTCTGTATCATCTATAAATATTACTTCCTCTTTTACTCAATATGGAATCCCCTGTGTATATAGTGTTTCATATATTAGTTCTATATACAGGGTGTCCATAAAGTTTGTGTGCACTTTAAAAAACTTCTAACTTTATTTGTATTTGTGATAGAAATAATCTGTAAAAAAGGTTATAAAGTTTAATGTATTTAGTTTTAAGTATAGCTAAAATAACTAATGTGATTTCAGGCATTACTGTAAATCAGTTGGCAAATGTTTTCCGTGAACTGCAAAATTGTATTACCCTTTGTATTGCTAATAATGGAGGACATGTGGAAACTTAAATAAAATTTCAATAAAACCCTAAAAAACATAGATTTACTTCTTTCTAATCCTTTTTACAAATTATTTCTATTGCAAATACAAATAAAGTTATAAATTTTTTAAAGTGCACACGAACTTTATGGACACCCTATATTTGAAATTGCAGTAGCCTGGCTCTCAATTTCAGTCAAGATTGTTTTAAGTGTTGCCATAGAAGGATATGACTACACAACCAAGAAATTCAAATTCCACTTGCATTGACAGGACTATCTTTTTACTTGGCAAAAATAGTCGCCTACAGAGTGCTAATGGTTTTAATGTTCATTTCGTTTTGTGTATATGATCAATAAAAGGCGGAAAAAGACCAGATATTCTCTTGGTTCTAGTATTGGCAAGAGGAATTACTTGGTAGCGACCATCTCATCTCTAGAGAGATGATATTTAACAGTTCTGGGTTGGTTCCACAATTTGGAGATTTTTGGTGCGCCATAGACTTTGGACCTTTGTATAATTCCAGAGGGACAATAGAATTACTTAACAATGTCTGTCTTTTTAAGTTTTGATAGACGATTCTGTTTTATATATTTTCAGTAACAGTCGCTGGTCTCATAGTATCATTTTTTTTTTAGTTTTTTTTTGTCAACAATCTTCGAGAGAATTATTGACAGGAAAAAGTTCAAGAGTGGTGGCTTAATGTCTTTTGAAAAAGTAATGGCACAATATGGAGACAGTTCTGTGCATGATACTGATGTCGTCTGCTTGATGATACGCATGGGAAACAGAAAAGGTATGGCAAAAAAAATGATTTTTAGTTTGTTGTCTGTTTTTTTTAAAAAAAGAAAAAAAATATATTAGAAAGCATGACCAAATTCTATGTGTCACTTATGAAATTTGAAAAAACATATAATGATTTTGTGCCATTTATAAAATGCGAAAAACATTTCGATCTTTTCTGTTGATTCACCCCAAATAATGTAAAGTTACCTATCACAAATATTAATTCACCTCCAAGAAATTATAAATTTTAAATCAAAGTATTTCTGTTTTTGTTTTTTTTATTAAATTTTTGGAACACTTTTGAAATTGTGAGTTTTAAATCAAAGTTTGTTATGGGTATTTGAGGTGGGTATATATCATGAAACAAAAGAATTATGTATTGTGTGTCTGACATAACAGCCTCCAGATTATTGGACAAAATCCAAAGCTGTATTTTATCTAGGATTAAAATTATATTGGATTGTTGGAAAGGGTAGACATCTTTTAAGGATTATCCCAATTCTATTCATCTGACTGTAAATCCCAGTATGAATTTTGTGGTATCTGGTAAATTGCTCGAAATCAATTGTTTGACAGTAAATTGCTCGAAAAATAATTTCTCGAACTATCAATTGCTCGAAAGGCAGTTTGCTTGAAATCTGTGGTTAAAAAAAAAAATAAAACTACATTGTTTTTAATATTTACTATAAGATAAAATAATACAACTTTATTGTTGTTAACTGAACAGTTAAAACTAAAGAACGAGTAGATTTATATAACAGGTCTTATTTTTTTTTTCGAAAGACAGTTTGCTCGAAATCTGTGGTTAAAAAAAAAAAAAATATGTGCTAAGCATTTCCTTTTTTTTGCACATTTCACATTTCCAGTAAATCTTATTGTTCACTGTTTTGTCCTTAATATATAGATATATCCATCCAAACACAATTTCTTCTTTTCTTTTTTGCTCTCAATAAAAGTTATGTCCATCACTAGGGTTCGAGATCTCCAAAATTACTGAAATAGAAAACAAATATATAAAAAAAAAATCAGGACTGCTGAAGTTGAGTGTTGTGGCTCCTTTTACATCCAGCTCCATTGACATGTCGTGACATAGCGCAGTTTATGTGGTGCTTCGAAATTACTTCGAGCAATCTGCCTTTCGAGCAATTAATAGTTTGAGAAATTATGTTTTGAGCAATTGATTTCGAGCGATTTACCTAGATCCGAATTTTGTTAATCCAGCTCACACGCAAAGAATCAAAAGTACTTGAAGGAATGCCAAAATGAATAAGTCCATATTTGGGAGTCATCGCAACATGATAGACTCGTCTGAGTTGTGTGAGTTCCTTTGGAGACGTAAAGCAAAAAATAACAATGAATGCATTTTTGAACAAATTCTATAGGACATTTCTGAATTTTGGTGTGAATTTTAGTAAATATAAAT